CTCGAGTTGGATGTGATTAAGCGAATATTCTTTTAGAAATGCAAAAGAAGAAACGACCAACTTTAATGGAACAAGTAGGTCTGAGCCGAAACGACCGAATATTAGCAACGTTTTTATGTGCTGGGCGACTAAAGAAAGTGCTTAGTAAGCCAGCACCTCCACCGCCGATTTATGTCAAACCAGACTGGAAAAAATGATGACATAGCACTGAAGTTTAAATAGGTGGAGGGGGGTTGCAGGTGCAACCTACTCTATTGAGTATGTGTCAGCAAAAACTGAAAACAAGCGCAGTATATAAGTTCTTTAGCGTTGACAGCGTGCCAGAGTCGCTCGTTGTTTCTTGTGTGAAGAGAACGCCTCGCCCACTGCAGCTCAGAATGGAGTCCTATCCCGGTCTGTCTGATTTGGCTCTGAGAACGATGTCAACTTTAACAGAGGAAGAAATGGGAGAAATGCTCGGATGGAAAGTCGTAGACCCCGACACATTGTTTAAAACCTCACCTGTACCTGGTAAGTAATTTTCAAAAAAGTGTGGTTAGGTTGTATGAATTACTGCGAGGTAACGTGTATATTGTGTGTCCAGATACGGTTGTCGCAGCTCCAGCTCAAACTGAACCAAAAGGTATGATCAGTGACAATAAATTGTCAGTTGTGGGTAAAACCAGGATAATGTTCTAAATCTCGTGTTTTTGTGTGTGTTGTATGTAAAGATCCAAGGAAGCGTAGGAAGTATACGCGCAAGGCTGCAGCTAAAAAGGTCGTCGACGACTCATCGAGATCAACTCTGTTGCACTGTCTTAGTGCTGATGAGTGCAATGCAGCAAGTTGCCAACATGTGAAGCAGTTTTTGCAGAGGTTGTTTGCTTTCTGTACTGTCAAAATGTGCGATAATGGGAAATAAATGTATATTAAGCACAGAAAAAAATGTGTTTTCCAAAAGATATTTATTTGAACCCCAATATTTTAACAACAGAATCATATACAATGACAAAAACTACTCATCGAACACAAGTTCTACATCATAAGTTCCCGTCTCAGTTGTCCCGTTATATACAAAGTACGGAGCCTGTCCAATAACAGACATACCATTAATAGCATCAATCTGCTCATCAGAAAGCCTAGCCAGTCTCGTAGGCATCACGACAAAAAGACTCTCCCCACCTAGATCTTTAAGTTCTGCTTTGATCTTCCCGCCGAACTTGGTAGATATGCGGGTCATGCAGCGGATCTCGTAGCGTGTCTTTGGCTTCAGATCCTTAATGCTGGTGAACTCGGGACTCCCAGCGATCGCGTTGAAGGCCGCGGCTAGGGCCTGCTTGTCCAGTCCAGGTGCATCAGCCATCTGTAGGAAAACAATACGACTGGTATCAGAAAAGTGTGCAAATCATAAATTTGACAAGAGACTGCATCAAAGGCATAAGGCACCCTTAAAAACAATGAAACAAGAAAACGCACCTTTTTTCAATAGATGAGTCAAGAACTACGGTCGAGCAGAGAAGGTGGGTGGACTGTTGATCTGATGGATGGCTGAGCGGCGGCGGCGGCGGTTCTTGTTGGCGTGTCGACAGCAGAGCACGGAACACAATGCGTTCCAGCGTCGACGGCACCCCGTTATATGGGTGTGCTCAGGGTGCTACGAAGAAATGTCCACCGCAAAATGTCCGAACTCAGATGGTCCGGAGTTTTTTTGTCCTCCGTGGTAAGGTCCCCTGCTAAATGTCCCTTAATTGATTGGCCGCCAACATAAATGGCCTATTTAATAGGGCATTGTTGCTATGGCCAACAATGTTTAGGCCGCGTCCGAGATACGCCCTACTCCTCACTCCTCACTCCGCCGGGCCCCACTGAGGACCATGGAGTTGGTGGACTCAAACAAGGGCAAGAAGCTGTTGTGCTTCCGAGGTTTCCAGTACTCGCAGCACAGCAGGAAAGGGGAGAAGCAGTACTGGCGCTGTGTGGAGCGCAAAGTATGCAACGCGCGGTGCCACACGAATGCAGACCTGGACAACATCCGAATGCTGAAGGACGGCACCGACGATCACATCAACCACGAGGCCGACCACCGGGCCATCGAGACACGGAAGGTCATGCGGGGAGTGAAGCGGGCTGCCGAGGAGCATCCGAACGACCCACCGCAGCGAGTATGTTCACCACACATCTTTCACCTACCCTTGGAGTTGGTAGACTAAGTCCCTGCATCACCAGCTCCTACGTACTGCCGTCGGGGCCGTCACTGACCCGGAGGTCCGCGCCCGGCTTCCGGAGAG